GTGCTGCCGGTGGCTGTGCAGTGTGTGGCCTTGCCGTGGCAGGAGGAGCTGTGCCTCCGGTTCATGAAGGAGGTGGAGACCCTCATCCTGAAGAAAAACAGGATTGTCTGAGTTCCGCACGCTCGCCCGGAGCAGGATCCCAGCTCACATCACCGCAGGTCGTCCTTTGGTCTGACTTGCCCCCAGGACTCGTGTTCCCCTCCATGAGGATGCGGTGATGGCTGGGCTGGCTGCTGGCTTTGGGGCGCAAAGGGAAAGCGAGGCAAGCTCTACAGTGGTGGAGCACTTCCAATCATTGTCCTAATACAGTATGTTTTGTTATCAGAAAATCTGTTATTTTGGGTCTGTGTTTGTGTGGGGGGTTGGGGTGGGTTTTAATAACCCTCTCAATACTCCCCAAGGAAGTGCAAGAACATGATCTTTCTCTTACAAATGTGGAAACTGGGACAGGGGAACTGGTTTTGCCTGAGATGTTCAGAGTCCTACTTGGAGTGCTGTAGGAAAGGGGTTTTCCCCTCCATTCTCAGCTCCCTGAAGATGAAATCTGGTGTTTTCCCTGCTGCAGACTAGCAATCCAAGGTCAAAGCTGAGTCTGCCTGCAGGCTCTGCCAAGCAGGGAGGGAGCTGGAGCACTTCCCACAGCGCAGGGCTGCTGGCACCCTGCACGCCACAGAGGAGAAAGCTGGAGTGATCATCGGCTCCCCTCTCCTTCAGACACCTACTCCTGCTTTCCCCAGAGCAGAGGTGTGAAGGGCTTCAGCTCACAGTATTGCATGTGTAACACAGCGTGCCAGGGACAGACAGACAGCCTGCCCTGCACACCCCATCCTCCTGTGTGGCAGAAGGGGTCACGCCAGGTTTTCCAGTGAGATTTTCCAGCCACTGGCAGATGCCAACAGGTGGGGCCCCCCGTGGTTTTCCGGTGATTTTCCCCAGCCACTGGCAGCTGCCAACACGTGGATTGGCAGCATCGGCTGCTCCCGGCACGTTTCCAAGGGTGCTCCAGAAAGAAATACCGCAACGCAAAAGCGTTTACCCGATGCAGCAATGTCACAGGCAGACTGTAACAAAGTTCTGGCAGGATTCATGTTTGGTTTTTTTAATGCATTGTTGTTGTTTAAGCCAGAGTCATGCAAAAGCATGGGGTCTTTTCAAGGGCTGGCTGGAGCGGTTTGTCCCAGCCTAGGAGAAAGCAGCCCCCAGGACCCTGATTCCTTAACAAAGGCTTTGAAAAAAGGAGAGAGGGAGCTCCAGGCATCCCAGGACTGAAGGCTATGTAAAGCCAAGCCCCAGAAGAGTGTGGGTGGAGTTTTGCACCAGTTGCGGGTGTTCCCTGTCCACACAGAAAATACTGGATGAGGTTTATCTGTTTGTGTTTTAAAATTCAAGCCTGGAGGACGTTGTCCCAGGACAGGCAATGCCATGTGTGCCCATGCTCTGGTAGAGCTGAGCACTGCATGGCTCTGTTGGTTTAACTGCTCTCTCCCTGGCGTGGAGGTGGGCAGGGTGCAGGAGTCCAAACTACGGAGACACCAGTGGACTGGAACCAGTAAACACTCCTCACTGGAAACCCTGAGCAAAGACCTCCAGTGAACCGTGGCAAGGGACACAACACTGAGCAGGGCCAAAGCAGCTGTGGGGCCCTGGGCACTTGAGGTTGCCAAAAAGGGCCAGCTGCGGGCTGCTCCTGGCCCAGCCTGGGCAGAGGGAGGTCGGTGTGAGTGGCAGCACTGGATGCTGGGATGGGGCAATGACGAGGACATCCCCACAGTCAGTGGGGAGAGGTTGGTGGCATCCACATTGAGCTGTTTGGCTTTCTGCTCTCCATCCTGGCCAAATGGAGGATCCTCCTCGCCCTTCCAGTCAGCAGCCAGTTTCTCTAGAAGGTCTTGCTTCTTCCCCAGGCATCTTCCCTGCTGCCACAGGAACAACCCCATGGGAGGTGTCTGTAACAAGCGAGGTAACATGATAGCAGCATGATCACTGGCTTTTGGTCCCCAAACAAGACCTCTCCACCAGAGAGCAATGATTACCCTGGATAAAACCTCCTTACAAGCTCTGCTACCATACTGCCTGGAGCAGAGCCAGCATTTCTCCAGATACAGCAATGTCGCCTTGCATCTTGGCAGTGAACTTGCAGAGACATCCCCTGTTCCTTTCCTGTGGGCTTGCAGACGGACCCTTGAGGTTTGAGAGAAGCTTAATTTTTTCAGCCCCTCCTTTCTGCACTAAGCCACGGGACAGTCCTGTGGGTGGGGAGCAAGGGGCAGCTCCTGGGACGGGTAAGGCTATGTGGTCTGGCTCCTTTGTGTTGTGCTGGCTGGAAGATGGCTTAGAAACTGGAGAGCAGATAGGATGCTGGGCCCATCAGACGGGATTTCCCAAAAGTGCTGTCCCCAGGATCTGGGTTGCCAAAAGACTTTGAAAGGGGCTTGACTTGAAAATGACACAGAGCAGTCATACTCCTTGAAGGCACCTTCAGATAGCTCCTTCCACACTGCCTTTCCAGAGTCACTGTGTCCTCTTGGACCTTCCTACTCTTGGTTCTCCTGAGCTCCCTCTTCCCCAATAGGTGCCATTTCACCCCCAGCACCAGGTTCCCCAGCACAAGCAGAGCTATGTTGTCCCAGGTTCAGAAGGCTGCGCATGCTGCTGCCTGAGGGACAGAAATGATGGCAGAGCACCTCTAGTTAATAGGCTTAAGTGCTAATTAATTATTAGATGTGGGTATAGCAGGGACACTCCAGACCTCGGTTTTGCAGACATTCAGCTTTGTTAATCAGCTCTGTCCCCTGTGTGTAGTCAGGCGCGGCAGCAGACAGTGTCTTGGGGAGACACAGCCTTGGGGGACATCCCCCCCAAACCCAGTCTGAGCTGGGCACGCTGCTTTGCAGCCTGACCCTCAGTGCTTCTTGGGCAGGCAGACCCTTTCAAAGTCCATGGTCTAAAAAGTCCATTCCTGGACTTTGTTAATGCAACTCTGCTTCAGAGCTGATCTTGCACAGCAGGCAGTTGCATAGTCTGCGTTCATCAGCCCTCCTTAGGAGAAGCTGGGAGACCCAGGTTTCCGTAGCTGGACCAGAACGGGAAGGACTGGGAGAGAAATCATGACCCCAAAGCAACTGTGGCAGGTCCTAGATCCATTGTGGGGAGACCCTCGCACCC